GGGGGAAAAAAGTAAACGCATCGTAACCCGTCTTCAATGTGGACAAATTTACACGTGTTTTCATTTTTGAACGCGTTCACACGCCTAAAAATGTTGGATGTTGAACGTGTTCAAGCGCGTTTCTTGATATAAACCAGTTGTGACACTGCTACAATTAGAATGAGGAAAGACGCGTTTGCTCAGTGTAAATGCGTTCAGACCCCCGAAAATGTTGCATTTTAGATGCGTTCAAACGTGTCAAGTTGGATAGCTTATAGGCGCTTAGGGACGCGTTTAAAGTTTGAAAATGGTTACATGAAAAGGATTGATTAATGTCGAAGTACCTACATAATTTAATTTTGTTAAGTCATGTGTTAAAGATATTACTTTATAAAATGAAGAAACTCAACAGATAACGCTAAATTACATAGTTTCATCACATTTATTCAGTGGTTAGATTGTCATTACTAAAACTAGACCAATGGCATCCATTTTTGCAAAAATAACATTTACAATCTATGATGTAATAGCTCGACATGTGTTAAAACGTGGCTGTATGTCATGTATTACACAACTTGTCTTAACATATGTTTTGATAACGTGTTTAATTGACATACGAAATTTTCACAGCAGAGAATAACCAGTTTTTTCCATCTTTTCCTCATATTAAAATAGTTATGATTACTTATTGTAAACAATTACAATTCATGTTAAAATAAAATAATCAGAAACTTCAATTAAAATTAATTCTATTGGTAATTGATATTAAAACGTTAAGAAAAAAGAACCGAAATCATTCCAACATAAGACGAACAAAATTTGAATTATTCACTTTTAATGAGTCATAACAAATACCATCACTATCTCTCTCTCTTTGTTTTCTCACATTTTTCTTATCACCAAAAGCAATTATCTTTTTTTGTCACTTTTTTACCTGTTTGTTCTGTATGTTGTTAAGTAGATTGTGGAAAAAAAATCAAGTGTTATTGTATATCTTCTCAATTCAATATGGAACAAACAAAACGACACCGACAACAAAATAGTATTACTAGTAATAATAAGAAAAAAAAGTTATCAAATAACAGGTACTTATAATATCTTATTCTTTTTCTCTTGTTTAACATGGTTAAGTTTTCTTTTCTTTTTGTTTTATTTAATTTAACAAAATAAGAACAAACAAACTAGACTGTTTCCTTCCTCTTTTTAGTTATTCTTGATAGTGACACCGAAAAATCCAATCATGGAGAAAGGTTCGTAAGTAATACGTTGCTTTTAAGTCGAAACTATGTACATCATATATGTCATAATGAGCTATGAACACTCTAAAAAGAGTTCGGATTGTTAGCTTATTGATATCGAGATGTTGCATTCTTACGGTAGTTTGTAGCACAATGTCGGGGTCACCCTTAGAAACACTAGGAAAATTGAGTTTCGAATTTTGACTTGAAACTTTGTATAGAGATAGGCCTTAACGAGAATAGTTTATTGTGAAAGTACTTATCTTTTTTTGATTGCTCTTATTCTGAAATAATAACATTGGAATCTACCGGTGTATATGAACAATGTAAATAACAAAAACATGCTTTTATCATAGCCGTATCGTAGGATAGAAACAATGAAAAGATCTGAAACTTTCACAATAAACTAGTTTCTTCAAGACCTATCTCTATACAAAGTTTCAAGTCAAAATCCGAAACTGAATTTTTCTAGTGTTCCGGAGCGGGCCACGGTATTGTGATAGAAAATACAGTAAACAAGTGGTATGCCGATAGCGCTATGTTAACAGCCGGAATTCTTTTTACAATGATCATAGCTCATCATGACAAGCATGATGCACATAGTTCCGACTTAGAAGTAATGTATCACTTGGGAACCTTCCGTTGTCAATTCTTGTTTAGCTGCCACTATTACCGTCTTGTTTTTTTTTCATATTACGGTTCTTTTGCAGTTTAGTTATATCCTTACATTGAGTACAGATATCAATGTGAAGGTAAGAGTGAGAGTATTATTAAACTGTAGTAGTACCTTACTTGCATGTTAAGTTATTTATTTTAATGTTAAGGACTGACGAAGAACCTTATCAAGATACGAAATGTCACTAATTTTTTATTAATTAAATTAAATAAAAGAAGAAAACTTAATCATATCAAATATCAATTTAATCTTTTTATTAAATCAAAAATTTTTTCCTTGTAGTAAAAACAAAACTTAATATGAGAGAGTTAGTCAAAGTACAATATCTCTTTTTTCTTTAAAAATCTCATTCTTGTATTATAGTTCATCTATTACACATCTTGAAGATCTTCCAAATGAAATTTTCTATGAAATATTTGGTTATCTCGATTTTCATTATGTATATAAAGCTTTTTCCAATCTTAATATACGATTTCAAAATCTTCTTAATTATTCAATTCATTCTATCAAACTCAATATTTCATCTATGTCTAAATCAACTTTTCAATATTATTATACACATATCATCATACCTAATAAACATTGTATTAAATCTCTTCATTTATCAAATCCATTTATTATTAATTTAATTTTTAAACCATTTTCATTTTCTATAATATCAAATTTTATTCAACTTGAAACACTTATTCTTAATAATATTGAAAAAATCTATCTTACAAATATTCTTAAACAATTAATTTCATTACCTAAACTTCATTCTTTAGTCATTAATTCTGTTGATATTGTTCGATGTAATAATAAATTTTATTGCCAATTATTTCGTTTACCTACACTCAAATATTGTAAATTTAACATTCCAGAAGATGATCATTATGATGAGTTGCCATTTTCTATTAACGAATACAGTTCTATCAAACATCTTGTTATAGAAAATAATATTCATTTAAAGAAACTCGACGCTCTTTTATCATATGTACCTCAACTTCATCGTCTTTCAATTCATCAACTAAATCAATCATTTGACAAAGAAACACAAATATTTTCAAGTGTATTAAAATATTTAACACATTGTTCTATAGGGAAAATATCTATTAGTTTTGATGAATTTGAATTATTGAGTAAAAATATT